AAATCGATTCGAATCAGGAGCACCAGTTACGTGCTTTGATTTGAATTATAGCCAATTTCTTAACGCTCAACTCTAACAATAAATAAATTTTTACAATAAAAATAGATAGGTAATGGTTATAAATCAGCTTCAGTTAAACAAGTTATATTAAAAATAATTTATATATTATTCATTTTATCTGTGATGAAATCATCCAATAGGCTTTTTTATTAGCATAATCGATAAATTAAAATCGAGTAAAAAAAAGCCATGGGTGACTGATTAGAAAGCATGGTATAATATTAATTATTGATAAACGTGATTCGAGATATCTAGAAATTGCAATATTCGAAATATACGAAAAAGTCTGATGTGTCTGTAAAAGGTCACTTTTTATGTGTGTAGACATATAAACACGTAATTGAGTATGTAAATGTCCGACTTTTACATACGCGATTTGCGTTTGTAAATCGCAGTAAAAAATGACCTTTTACGTGTTTTATTACAGACATGTCAGACTTATTCGTATATTTCCATACTTTTTTACAGTCATATTACGTGTAAATTTCTTATAAAACGACGCGACGCTTATAGGTGAAGAGGAGTCATCTCAGACAAATTCACCGTTCTCACAGTCAAATCTCGTTTTTTCCTGCACATACGCAACTATTTAACAAATAAAATTAACCGTCAAAACTTGATAAAAGATATGTTAAATTCAACACATAATCATCACAATACAAATGAAAAGAGATAAACTGAAACGATGCTTCATGATTGTAGCAAGAGATTTTAAAGTATCGTGATAAAAGTGTGTTCGTTATGAAGAAATAGAAGTTTATCTCAGTGATACTTTGTTTGCTTCAGGGGGAGGGACATATATGTATAAATGTGAAATAACATAAGTTACCGGCTATAAGCAACCATTTTTTCGGACTAATTTTGGGCGCAATGTCGAAGGGTTTGCTTATTAATAAGCATCGTTCCAATTCAAACAAAACAACTACTAAAATGTTAGTTCAGTGAGCTATTGGTTGTTGAACTTAGAGTCAGAACAGATCGGGTCAAAATTTAATTAGAATTAAAAATATGCTTGACCCGATGTATTAATCCATTTAATCGATATTTATCAGTATTGGTCGAGTATCTAGAAGTTCTAAAATATCCATAACTATGGTGCATACCATCTAAAATACAAACGTTGGGACATATCATATGATCGTGAAGATCCAATGACACCATTCCAATATAACGATATATCTAGTTAGAATTCTTAGAATTATTAATCTCTCGGGATTAGCTTTTTTATATTGACTTTAATAGTAGTATAGTAAAAATTCAGTATTATACAACCGAAGCTAATAAATTGGAAAGTGTAAATCAAATTTATTTTAAGGCAGGGTTTCATATGTCCACATATAACGATTTCGGCAATATCCATTTAGTAATTAGCAAAACCGAATTAAGTAGATTTGCATTGAATGTAAATTAATTTTATTACCTTATCGGAGCTGTTTTATCAAGGTTTTAAGGCACATACAAGCCAAAGTACTTTCTTGTCCTAAACTAGAGCACCTTTTTGTTCTCAAATCAGCTCCACCAGAGAAGATCCTTTCAACGGGTACGCTCGTTCGTATATGTGGCCAAAAATTATATAAAGATCAGAAAAGCTCAAAAACCACAGCTTAGATGCGATCAAAAAAAATGGTCAATTATTATTAATGTGAATTAAATTTATATCTGACCCGAATTGACCGGATCGGGTTAAAGAGTTGACCCGATCTAGTGATCTAAATCTGCAAACCGACCCGTTTTTAAACGGATCAAACCGACGGATAATCCGATCCTACCTGTTCATATTCGGAGCTCTAGTTGAACTTAATCACTGGTTGTTGAGAAATATGATCATAGATTGGGTGAGTTGCTTATAATCGGGCATTTACGAAAAAGTTATACATGTATTACGTAATGGATTTTGTGGAAATTACATGTAATTTATATGCGTAACACAATACTTATTTGGTATCGTTACCGACAAATATTGAGTAAATCATACATACACTTAATAATTTTTAATTAGAGAGTAGGATTGTTAATGGATCAACATACCCTGGGTTACTATGTGATTTCTGAATTTCACTCAGCTCCGGAGCCATAATTATATAAACCCATTTCGACACTCTTGCTCCACATGGAGTTAGAATGATGATCTATTTTAAAATTGCCAATGAAATAATAAAGTATTTTATATATAGCTTTTATCCAATCAAATTAATTACATATGACTTTTATAAGTACTCTGAGTATCTGGAGCAGTATTGGAGCAAATCCCAAAACAATGAACCCGGAGCGGGTTCAATTTGATTGACCCCTTGCTCCACTATAATATGAATCTAGTTCACTCTGCTCCGCTCCATTAACAACAGTATCAGTGAGCTTCAATTATATTATATTTAATAGTATAATATTGTTTTTTTACTTGAGCTTTTTCTAATCCGGACAAAGACTTTAAAACTCGTGCTTGAATTTCTATTGGCAAGGAAGTGAATATTCTTTGTAAATAAATGGTATCTGATTCTGGCTCAAGGTCTTTTTTTGATCGCTAAGAAAATAAACTTTGCTTCACCTTACATTATTGCTTGCTTATTCTAGAAGTACAAGCCATGATGGTATTGAGGCACAATATGACCACACCCTTAATAACAGCACTTGCGGAATAAATACTCGATTATGTGTTCCAGTACAGTAATATTGTGCGAGCTTTGGGGTTTGGATAGTATAGTTATTTAGTTAGTAATTGGGAATTACAGAGTTATGTTGCTCTGCAACTGTGCAACGAAAAAATTAGGTGTTCTACCCCAAATTCTGGCTATATGTGTCACTTTTTGAGTTTTTCTGCCATCTGCACATTATTCGGCGGTTATCATCATGGATATCTCGAATATACAGTTCTGGCGGAGAGTAATGAATGCCAGTTTTTTTAATTATATTTCATTCAATTATATAAAAAAATTTATTGTGATAGTGCTTTTGAGTAGCCCCTAAAATGTCAGTACTTGATATGATCTCTTTCCGTCTCAATGCAAGTTTAAAATTTTGTAATTTGGACGATTTTCAACTAAAAAAAAAAACTAAAAAATCGCAATAATTCGATAAATATTATTATGATTAAAATAAATTACTACTAAAATGTTCGTCTTATTGAGGCGAATTTAATAAGAACAAAATTATAAAATTCCGATCCCTGGTTATTGAGAAAATAAGTTTTTAAAGTTTTACAAACCTGCAATCGGGAAAATGACTTGCCATGATGCGCGCCTATTAGATTTTCGCCAATTCATCAATTTTTTTAAAATGTTATTATCTTGCTAGAAATCTAGCACTTTATTTAAAAAATGCTATTATTATAGTAAAATTTACATAACAATCTCACAGCCATTACTTTCCGCCGGAACTGTATATAGAGTTTGATTGTATTATAATGCGGATAACAGCATTTATGAAATAAATTATATTCCAGGTTTTTTGCGCAAGCTTTCAAAGTTTAAGGAATTCAGAGAACCTTTAATATTACTATTGAAAATGTTCTCTATTGGAACGTATAACGGCAGTGAAAAAGCTGCTCGATCATATTTTTTTAACGATACTTGCACTATATATTACTACCACGATTCCACCACATGGATTTGATTTATCTTTGATCATTGCTCTTTTTCTTTGGTGATCAACAAGTTCATCAAAAAATAAACAAAAATTGTCATACACAAGTTAGTCCGTAAATATCAGAGTACGAGAGACGTAATGCAGTACAAAGACATTGGATGATCCGCACATTGAAAGTACATGTATTATGCTCGAATCGAGATTGTTTCAGTCATTTTTGCCAACTCTCGAAGTACTTGTGATACTTCTCTTTTGGTATACCATCAACAATTCATGTAATGCTGTCTATTTCGATTTTGGAAAAAGTTAACTCGACATGTTCTTTTTTGAGTAGCTCTTGAATACACAACTTATATGGTGGTGGCTCTCTTTCTGGAATAAAATTTTGTGTTTAGTGTTTTGCATCTGAAACAACAATTTAAACAATGACTCCGTCTACTGTAAAAAGAATGTAAAACATTCTTTTCCTGTTATCTTAATTTCCTTGTGAAAACTTGGTTCTATACTGAAGTGTCAATATCGTCAGTTAATTGCGACTATTGAGAATTGTTTTGCTCTCTTTCTCTTTGAACCATGACTACAGATGAGACGATATGCCTTGACCATAAACATTAGCCAGTTCTACATGAATAATAGCTGTATCATGGCATGGTTATTTTTCCAAGCCACAAAAATTTTTAAACAGAAATTTCTCGGTTGGGTACAACCGATTATCCACGAGTGGGTCGGATATCCAGTAGCTACCCGGGTATATCTGTTGATCTTCCAAGTAACCCGCCGCAATATTTTTATAAATTTTAATTTTTGATTGGTACATGTATAGAAAATTTTCCTTTTAGATTATTGATTCCCTTTTTCATAACTTTAGCTTTATATTCAGATTTATTCTACTTATAAACAATTAGCATATTTGGTCTTTAAATCTTTTCTCATAACAAACAAGACGAAGAAAGAAAATGGTAAGTTGTACCATTTATCTTTGACATTTAAAACATTCCAAGTGTTAGCTTTATTCTATTTATTATTATTCATTTATAAAAATATGCTTTTATAAAAGTTGTTAAAAAAATATTCAGATTTTTTACATTTTATTAACATTTAAACCATTAGGTGTATTATAGCAGCGAGACGAGTACTGGCTGGCGGGAAAGAAAGGCAGCTCATGTGACCAAAAGAAAACTAAGGGTTTATTTGTGTGTCATTGCTAAGAAAATACAATCGTAGTGATGAAGGTTTGCATTAAGTTACTGTTATTTTTTGATTTTCATTATTTTCATTCAATAGTATATAATCAAAAGGTAATTTAAATTATTATTACAATTAAATGATGATTTGCCGACAAATTGGGAAAGAGATATATGAAGAAAAGTGTTGTATGTTTCCATTCTAAATATGATATTGATTGATAATTGTTTATATCATATCATTTATATTTTTACCATAACTAAAAGATTGTGCAGAGAGGATTGATAATCTTGGGTGAAGATAACAGCGATGGCAATGTTTTGAGCGATGGAGACAATAGAGATGATGGTGATGGTGTTAATAATAGTGATTTGAAGGAAATGAAAAATTTGATGAAAATGATGAATCTGATAGAGAAGATGAATCTGATGGAGACAATGAATCAGATAAAGATGATAGCGATAATGATTATTCAACCTCCAGAGATGAAGATTTGGTGAATGAGCATTATGAAGAATTTAAAGCTTTTTATTTTGAAGATAAATTTTTAGCTTTTTTAATTGAAATAATTTTATGAGATTGTCAATATTAATATTAATATTACAGAGGCATTCCAGAATATTGTGGACACTTTTTAAAATACAGTAATGTAAAAACCAATAAAAAAGCAAGATTTATGATTCTAAGTTAATAGAATCATTGAAACATATTGTATATTATATCAAAATTTTAAGTGATTTTAATAACTAGTTAATATATATATATATATAAAATAAAATTTAGAATTTATGTGAAAGAAATATTAGTTTGCAAAAATGCAAATAACTTTGCATCTAGTAAATCAAATTGAATAAAATTTTATCTATCAAAATCATTCAAATTTGTTTATTATATATGGAGATATCATGTCTCAAATATAACATATCAAACTGGAATAATTTTTTGAAGAAAATAGTTTTTGTGAATATCTCCATGTTCAATTAACCAAATTAGATAATTTTGATATCATCAGATTTGTCTTGTTTATGTGGATCTAATGATATTAAAATCATCCAATTTGGTCCACTGGATACAGAGATATTTGCAAATATGATTTTCTTTAAAATTTTATTTAAAATATTTTTTTAAAATTTTATTTAAAATATTTTTTTACTCTGATTTTTGTATGGTATTTTTGAGACATTATATCACTGCATTTAGTAATTCAAATTATATGATTTTGATATCATTAGATACATCTTGATTTGGTGAATCTGGTGATATAAAATTATTTAATTTGGTTTACTGGATATGAAGATATTTGCATATTATAAAATAGAATAAATTTTTTTCACGTAAATTTTCAGTTTGATACTAAATTTTATTTTTTATATTTATATATATTTTTTTAACTAGTTATCAAAATCACTTGCAATTTTGATATATGTACAATATGTTTCAATAATTCTATTAGCTTAGAATTATAAATCTTGCTTTTTTATTGGTTTTTGCATTATTATATTTAAAATGTGTTCACAATATTCTGGGAGACCTCTGTAATATTAATATGAATTCAATTTTTCATAAATCAGTTAGTTAATCGATAGTTGGACATTTTGGAACTAAAGAATCACGAGAAAGTTTCTACGGATAATCCTGAACCTAATCCTTTAAAATTGATCCAAATTCATTGTTTTATTATATTATCTAATAGTTACAAGGAATCTTCGAGAGAGTTTATGCAAATATTTCATATGCTACTGTATAGGATTAGTTTTAATAGAAAGTACAACAATGATGCAATTTAATGCTCGTCGGGAAAGAGGAGCCAAAAGACCTATCAATCGATTTTTTATTTTCTTAGAATTCGTCACGTACTTTTAGTTTTATCAGTGAAATTCTTCTACACATACACGTCTACACATACATATATAAAGTAATTGAGCACATAGATTTGTGATAATTGACGTCAATAAAAGCCCAGATGAAATAATACTGTATTGTTGTCAAGAATCTTAGGCATGAATTGATATTCTAAATTTACTTTTATATTTATACCTCCAATTTCATTTTTTCAAGTATGATAATTATAATAAAGAGATTTCTGCATCAAACCTGGTTTTACGAAATTTAAAGTTTGAAGTACAGTATTTTGAGATGCATCTCTCCTGTCGAAAAATTATACTATTCAGCAAAAATCTATCCCAATATTTGTTACCCTTGACATCGAACAACTCAGATCAAAAAATATACAACCAATATAGAATTTGAAATCAACCTTTTTGGATATTAATTAGTTGTCACAATGCAATATTTATCACATTCATGAATACTTAGTCACGAATATTTTAATAGTAAAAAATTGATCGATCCTTATTATAATCGTTTAAATACAGTGAACAAAAATATGGAAATATAGTTTTTTGCTGGTTTTATCCAAGGAATGTATTAGTTTAATGATAAATTTAGAATAAATAAAAAAATATAAGTAATGATAAACATACACTTCACCTAAGCCTAAAAGATCGACTTAATCATGCTCGAATATTTATTAATTATAACCTCACATTAAATGATTCAGATTACAATTGAGGATATTCTAACCAAGACTTCAAGGAGCGTGACCATGATATCATACTTAGTAAA